GTGTGTTTTCATCGGCGTCTGTCACAATCGCACACTTTCTAAAATTCTAATTCTTTCAATTAAAATGTGTTTATTGGTGTTTATACGGACCAGACCACCCTGTAGGGAAGTCTACCCGTGAGTTCTATACCCGTGAAAAGTTCATTTGTGCAATTGTTCAGACAGAAGTTGGAATTTACGAAATCGATTATCTCTCTTGCACATCGCATATACATACACGGTTCCCGTTGATTGGTGAGTGCACGGGACACAGCGCACGGGCCACGGAGTCTCCCCCCTTAACTGTAGTCGGTAACGTCTCGACGATCATGCGCGGCAGCCACCTGAAGATGCCGCACTCGATACCAAAACTGAACGCGCAGGCTCGATACCGCATTAGAAAACGCATATTGTGTATATATAAATCATTAACTCGTATCTTCGCGATAAGAAACGAATAATTTCCCTTACAACTTCGGAGATAATACATTTCCTACAGGTATATCCATTAACATTCCCTGCAAATTTCATTTCGTTTTATACATAAAACGATAACGCCACTAACACATTTCATGCCGCGATCTTTAATTACCTTCTCAAGAAACACTCTTTGGATACTAATCAGGGACAAATCAAACTTTTCCTTTCTCCTTCGCCGGTTCTTTCTTTGCGACCTCCGTCTTAGGCTTTCTTTCCCGTCTACCTCGTTTATCTTTCTTCTTAGCGCTCTCGGCTTTCACCGCGTCGAGGATCTCCTGCTGACGGACCTGCGTCTCGACGTGAATAACATCGGGCTTCTTGCGATGCCTGGTGACCGCCGCTGGTGGAGAGAACTCGATTTCCATATCAGACGCCGTGGAACTGGACGCGACCGAGGCCTCGTCTTTGTTCTTCACGATCTTGAACTGCAGCGGTTTCATTGGCTCGGAAACGTGTGCCTCGTCTGACGGCGTTTGCCTGATCGGGTACATCGTCACGTAATAAGTGCCGTCTTTCCTATGAATATGAAGAGTCGGCGGGTCTGCGGCACCCTCGTGTTCGTCCTCCATCATTGATTGCTTTCCTTTCAAAGACGACGAGGGCCCACCCTGTCTTCTCATCGGGGTTCTTTGACGGGCACTCGTTGATCTACCACTGGTCGGTTTTCCGCGACTTGTAGTACCTCTTCCACGTTCAGTACCTGGTCTTCCTCTTCCACCTGTTGCTTTTCCACGATCACCGCCCGTCCTTCCACGACCTGTTCTTCCGCGATCCGCTGATCTCGTGGTGATCGCCGACATCGACTCCTCCGGTGTGTAGGACTCCTCCTTCGCCTCTTGAAGCATTTCGTACAGGTTTCGACCTATGGCGCCTGGCCTCCAGCCGATACGCGGCTTCAGATTACTCGGCGTGGACATAGTGTTCCACAACCAGCCCATATTAGCTGGTACTCGCATACGAATATCGATACAGTCTCTGTGCCCGAAATTTATTCCTGGATAATGATCACCGACAAAGTATACGTACCGCATTACTCTTTTACTGACTCCGATCGGCGAATTAGGATCAGTTCTGTCACCGCCTGGGCCCACAGCGTGGTCACGGAAATCACCCCCAGCGCCACCTTTCTGACGAACAGCCTTACCACGTCCTTTACCAGTTCCAGCCTTTCCACCCTTACCGCCGCGTCGTTTCTTCGTACTACTCGCTGGCCCACGACCCGGTTTCAACTTCGAGGTGGTGCTCGTCGCGCTGAACGTACCGTCAGCATTATCGCCAGGTATCTTTCGTCGCGATTTGCACATTGGCTCGCCGCAGGGACCTGTCTTCATGTCCAATATCCCGACGGACGTTCCTGCTGACCATCGGCGGGACATCCGGCAGAACTGGTATAGCTTCACGGACAATACCCAATCGGGGTGGTAGCATAATGGCGCCCAATGGTGCGGGTGGCAGGTACGGTTGACGCTGCTGTACATTATCTCCTGATATGAGCGTCTGCGCCGGGTTGCACGGTGCTCGACAAGAAGGCGCCGGTGGTTGTTGAACCATTGGCTGTCCTCTCTTCTTCTCCTGCGTGGACGGTTCTTTTGGCACGTAGTCTTTGTCGAGGTCTCGGCCGAAATAAGGGCTCTCCGACGGATCCATCAAACCGAGCCCCGCCAGGCCTGGCACTTTACCGATCGAATCGACGAACTCCTGCGTTTCTTTGAAAGCTCTGATCAAACAATCGATCCCCAGACACGGCTGTTTCGAGCATGTCGCGACGCCCGTGTGCCACATTTGCGTGTCCTTTCCAGCGCATACGCAAGCGGGCCTGGGCCCGGTCGACGTCACGCGAGGCTTGCATGCATCGAACGCAGGTAATGGTTCCTGTTGCTTTGATTGTCCCTTGCTAACCGCAACTGTACCACCGGAACATCCGCAACTGGACATTCCGTTCTCACCGCCACCCTCCATACGCAGTTCCCTTCCGTTTCTCTCCTCGTACCAGGCGTAGTCCGTGTCGTAATCCGGCCATTTGTACACGGTGGGATCCAGGTAAATTTGCTCAATATCCCCACCGCCTCGGAGCCTGGTCGGCCTGGTGCAGTCCTGTATCGTGTCGTCCAATGGGTTCAGGTAATTATTAACACAATATGTATTCGATAACGAGCTGTCCACTGGTCGTGGCTCGTGCGTGTTCAGCGATTCGGGATTACGCAGCCTCATGCAGCACGGTTGTTGGCAGCCGGAACGGCATTCCATGGGATTCGTCGATCGATCAGCGGGCTGACAGGAGCAAGTGGGCTGATCTGGATACGCTCTGTACACTAATTCTCGGAACTTCGGATCGTTGAGCTGCTCGGCGGTGGTCAGCTGTTTGAAAGCGGGATCGTTTATCGAAATACGGGGCGGTGAGTCTGGACGCTTTAGAGACGGTTCGCTGGTGTCACGTTTATCCTGAAGAGGAGCAAGATGAGGACAGAGGAACTTTTGAATCGGCGAATCATCCAGCATATAAGATTTTCCAGTTAACAGAAATGATTTAACGATGGTACTGCCGAAACAGGATAATCTTAACACGACAGAAACGGTGCCGACTGTTTCTCCATTCACGTCGGTCAGATCGAAATTATTCTTCGCGACACACGGCGTGGATAGCCCATCGGGTTTCTTTCGTGCGTCCAACACGTGATTGCACATACAATTGGGCAGATTAACATTCACTGTACCTAGGAGATCTCCGTTTCCTTTTTCGGGGACACTTTTGTGGTACACTTCTAAACGCAACGGCGCGAACCTTATAGCCTTGATCAGGCTACTCGGAGATTTAGCGAACAAACAGGATTTACCGTATTTGAAAACTTTCGAATTTCGTGACAGTTCACGATTCTCTGCGCGTTCGTTCTGGACAGTTTCGGGTATGTTTATGTTGTATTCAGGCAGATCGGTGAACCTCACGGAAACGGACAGATCCTGAACGTTCACGTCCGGTCGTTCGGGTTCTAGGTTCACTTGATCGATGAACACCTCGAGCATGTAAAGTTGCTCCTCCTCCTTCTTCTCCGATCTCGTCGTCCTTTTTTTCGAAGTCATGTCTTCTTTGACGTTACACGAGAATTTAGGAAGGAATCGTGAACTCGCGAGTGCTACTAACGATATCGCTGGCCGGAACACGCCATTAATTTTGTGGTCGATTATACGGCCAATGCAACGTAACCTAACCGTGTCAACATCTTGAACCGATCAATTTCATGTGAATATAGTTACCATAGTGACGTATCAGACAAGCAAAGACGGATTCTGTAACGGGTGTAACTTCAAAATGACACATCACTTTTTACCCTTCTTCTTGCCCCCTTTCTTCTTTTTCTTCCCCTTTTTACCTTTCTTACGCTGTGCATTAGGATCGATTCCTCTCAGCTCGTTCAACGTAGTTCGATCCGGGAACTGCGAGATATCCTTCTCGACACCGTCCGGATGATAACTTGGCGGCACCAGACGTCTGACGCAAAACTCACGTTCCTTGTCCTGATTCCTAAAGGCGAAGAACTGAGGGTGCATCTCGTAATGGGTCATGTACGATCTACCCAGACAGACTAATGTCATCTCCATTTCCAATGTTCCCGAGGGATTGTCGCCAGGATCTATCAAATTGTACTTGTCCTTCACCACGAAAGGTTTCGGAAGATTCTCCGTGTCGTTCTGGCTCATGGCCACTTGATCGCATAAACAACCAGGCAATGTTATTTCGGTTTCCGCCGTTGGATACGTGTCCCCAACACGGAAAACGCCGACCTTCACGATCGTTGACTGCAGTTCATGCACCAGTTCCTTCGGTTGCATCACGAACATGCAAGACCGACCGATCATGAAACGAAGGGTGCAACCTTCGTCCTCGGGGGGCGGCGGTTTGTAAGCATAGAAATCCTCACGCGTGATCTCGAACACGGGAAAGTGCAGGAACTTGATCTTTATCGCCACAGGGAATTCACCGATGTCGTTTATCTTACCCTTGGTCAGTGTGAGCTTGTGGACCAGCATCGACAGCATGTAGAGCCGCTCGTCGCGGCCACCGAAGCAGGACATATTGAGGATCGAAGAAGGGTTTGAGGATTGTCAGCGACGAATAGATGGCGTCGCTGAAGACACGAGGAATTTTTTTTTTTTTTTTTGAGGTTTTCTATCGAAATGGTTAATGCACGGAAAGTGACAGACAGGATATGACAGTCGAAGCACGGGTAGGGTGGACGCAACGGTAAACAAACACGTACCAGTGAACGAACATTAGATATAAAATTGAGAAAATTAAGTTATTATAATAAGCAAATGATTAAATATTAATTTTCTTTTCGATTCCTTGTTTAATATTCGAATAATATTCGCGCCATTGGTTAGAAATGTTCGTTTACTGGTTAATGTTCATTCACTGGTGAAATCTGTATTGTTTCTTCTTACTTCAATCGATTACATTTTTCAAATTTTTCAAAATTGTGAAATCTATACCTCACATAAATGAACAGACACTTGTAAACCTAGTTTTCACGTGTCGAATATTTATTAATATTATTATTTAAAATTCGAGTTTAACAGTTACAAAATCTCTCAACTGTTCACTCAATTGTGCTGATGTTTATCCAAACCTGAATTTTCACCTGGTCGATTTTGAGGATTCAGACTGTAGGTGTTCGTGAAACGTTTTTCGTCGTCGTTGTCTTTAAATCGAATCGACATTCTAACGTGTCTTGTCCTCGGGGATGAGTTCCAACGGAATTTATATGTCGAAACGATCACTCTATCCGGCAACACCTCGCTTCCGTGTCTATAGATATCCCTATCATCAATTCACGGATAAAAAAAAAACCATCGACGTACAGTCACGTATAACCGATCCACCGTACGCGACTCCGCTGGCGTCTCTAATTCCATTGGCAGTTATTACTTAGCTCCCACAGTGGTGTATACTTAATCCTGCGGCGCGAAACAGGCTGCTGGAGACCCGTTACGAAAATCTGACGGAAAGGCTCGTCACGAAGCCAACCCTTTTCCAGCATTCTCGAGAAACGAATCTCTCTATTTGGCAAGTTTCGCCTCTCAGGGCAGCCGCGGGCTCCTGTGAAGGCGACGCGAGGCAGGAAACGACACAGTTGCCCATCACTGATATAAAGCTACCACACTAACCTAAACCGTAATTCAAGTCTACCAGCAATATCGTTTGCTACCAAAAATCAGCCACCATGATCAAGAAGCTATTCAGAAGCGAAAGTGTATATCGCCTCCTTATTAAAATAAGGCCCCCATTACTCACCAGCTACACGTCACATTCTCGTTCGGAACCACGCGCAACCCGAAGGACCCGAAACCATACACACACACACACACACACACACACACTCCAAAAAAGCCTTCAACTCCTGAACCCCTCGTCCGAACTCCTTTCTCCGTCGTTTCGCCATCTATATCCCGCGATCTTTTATACACCCGTACCAAATAAAGTCGAATCTTCTGATCCTGAGTGTGAGGGACAGCCGATCGATTATAAGGCCCATTCACGAACCCGATTCATTCTCCATGCCTATGACGGACGAGCACCCGCCAGATTCTGTTCGTTCTATTATACAAAGACAGGACAAGAAAGACAGAGAGGGAAACATGTCGAAACGAAACGTGAAAAGGCGTCCTTGGAGCGATTCGTCCCATTCCGTAGACCGCGGCATTTCGTTGGCCCACCGAAAGCGACCGCCCCGGCCGCACCGGTGGGCCCCATTGCCGAACACCGAGGGGCCCCAAGTATGCGCTAATTGGTACGGGCGCGCGCACGCACACACGGACCGATTTCCCCCATAAAAGACGTAGACGATAGCAGACCCCGTCGATGGTTGTGTGAGACGTTAAAACGGGATATAGAAAGGCAGACAGAGAGAGTGGAAGGGTGGGGGAAGAGAGAGAGAGAGAGAGAGAGAATAAGGAGAGATATCGTGAACGGTGTGTGCCCTCTCTGGGGCCCGTTGGAGCCGCTGGAAGCCGACTACTCGGGGCAGAAGTAAAATTCCGGGACCGGGCGACACGGCGGCTCGTTAAAATGCTTCTGGGGGTTTCGGGCGCGGGACGCTCCGGGTAATTGGCGATTAGCGATTAAAACGAATGTACGTTTCTTTCCCTCCCATTTACGTCCGTCTTCTACCCTCTTTTATGCCTTCGAACCGTCCCCCTCGCCGTTCGTCCGTCGTCGCGGGACAAAGTAACGTTCGGTATAAAGCGCTTTTATCGGCTCGCCCTAGAGAGCAGGCACTCATTCTCTCTCTTTCTATCTCCCTGTTTCTCGATTGGCCGATTTTATCTTCTACCTGGTATAACGATGACACTCCGGGGCCCACGAGGTCCCCGTTTTGAAGCCGTCGTTCCCGCGCGACCCAGGGCCCCTGAGGGATGGGAAGGGGGAATGGCGTCTTTAATCGTGCGACTTGAAGCAGCAATGATCACTTTCCGGACGAGATTGGGTAGCCGTTTCTTGCCAGGGATCGCCTGGGAATCTGAACGCCTCGGGGGCCACACGAACGGTCACTGGCATCCGGATCAACCGGAAATAAATACCGAACCCCGCTGGACACTAATTCGAGATCGTACAAATTTTGAGGTTCTCCCTACCTCCAATCTTTCCTGTGGTATCAGCGTGGTTAATTCGAGGAATATCAGTAGGGGATACACTTTTAATTACTGCTTACGGGTTTAGGGATTATTAATTTTCGGGCATCGCGCGGGCTTCGGGATAAACGATAAAATTTTTACGGCCGCTAACTGCACGGGCGAACTACTGGTCAGCTGGTTTTATTGAAAGACTCTTGTACCGAGTGTGTTTCAATTAACGTCGACGGTAATCAAGAGATGGAGAGAAAGAGATGGAGAGAAAGAGAGAGAGAGAATCTTTCCCTGGAGCGAAATTACCTGCGTCTCTGTTTTATGGAAGTAATTAACAGTCGTTTTACGCGGTTATTTATTACCTCATTCGGTACGTGAGCCATGTACGATTATTTAATGATAAGGGTAACTTAATTATTCACTTTACTGGTAGTCTGTTAGTATGATTTGAAATCGACTGGAAATTTTAAACGATCAGCGAGATTGTTTAAAATCACTTTTTCTCATTGTGTCTATGGTTTGTCCAATGAGACGAGTCAGTGAAAATAACTGAAACGATTCGCGTGCTGAGCCTGGTTATTGGCTGACAACTGTGTTTGTCCCTCGTTCACCTAAGTGGTCAGCACTTCCCTTTGTTTATAATTACTGACTCGACCCGTTGGATGATGTATTGATCTTTGAGTGGGTATTTTGTTGTAAAACTATTACCTTGTGATCTTCTTATACCAATGATGTACTATTTTAATCAGCCCTTACGAATCATTGCGAGGCAATTAAATGGAAACCTCGAATAAGGGCCTCAAGCATATTTAACATATTTTTGGAGAAAGTGGTTTTCAAGTTACGCATGTATTCGGTAAGTTCTGATGAACTTTTCCTGTGCCCTCATTCCATTGAAACAACCAACAGAACAACTAGAGGCCGTAACATTAAAATCCTCCACTTTACGACTGTTTTTTTGTTTTTTTTTTCAAACGAAAGTTTAATGTTAAACAAAATGTTCAAAAAAGTTTTCAAGCCTTTTTTCTTAAGAAAGTCATGTCAGCATTCCTGGTGGTTCCTTCTGAAATTTAAAAGTCAATTAATAGCGCTGTGAAGTATTTGACTACAAAAAGTTGAACAAAAATTCTACTTTTTAGCCATAATTGAAACCAAACAAGAATGTCTTCTATCTTATAATGTTATTAAAAATGAATGGACACGAAGGGCATTTTTTGTGACGTCAAATTCTTCACAAAAATACTAGTCAAAGGGGTTAAGGTTCGTCCATTGTAATTTCGAAATTCTTCACCAAGGTAGCACGAGGTCAATTTGCCTTAGATAACCGTTATTTCGATATTTGCTCGAAACCGGTCACTCCTGGCCAGCATCAGGGTTAGTCATCGGTCCTAATCCGTGATGAACGTGTTTCACCCGCGGGTTATCGAGCTCCGACCAACGTTTATCCTCGCGACACATCGACTCCGTGACTCAAATATTCACCGTGGAGCCTCATTTCCCCGTGGACCTGTGGATTTCTCAACTGAAAACATGAAGATCTACTTTACATCGGTGAAACTATGGATCCTTGCTGATAAAAGTTACAATATCAACCGACCACAAAACTTTAACGCACTGTTACAATAAGTGTTGCACCAACACAACACTGAACATTAAAGGGTTAAGATAAGTAGCCCCAAATTTTTTCCTATCTTGCGTACATAATTACGCATACGACTCTTGAATTATTCAAGAACCCCGAGTCATACACGTAACATTCTCACTCATCAATCCTAAAATCATACCCTTCAGCCTCTAACTCATCAACACCTAGCAGTATTCAAGAATTCCTATTGGAGCTTTTCCTATCCCCACTACCTCTTCAATCAGTTCTCCGAATATTACTTAAGGATGGGCTAGGAATTAACCACAAGGCTGACGTTCAAGATCCCGACCCAGGGACATCGAAGAATCATTACAACTTACCGTGACTCAAATATTCATCGTAGAACCTGATTTCCCCGTGGACCTGTCGCGATTGAACGCGGCGAAAGCCCTTGTACCGTGCACGAAAACGGTCCCACGACATTATTTCCTGCACCTCCTCTCCCGTTTCCAGCTGCTGATCCGTTCTACGTACTTGTTACACACCGCGGGGAATACTGTTCCACGGGCTCATCGGCAATTTGAATAATTCCGTCTTCCTAAGGAACGGTTTCTCATCTCGAATTCGCCTAACGTCCGGGCGTTTTTGTTGCGCCGTAGGAGCGAGCGGGGCCAGAGAGGAGGGGGGCTACTTACCGTGGAATGCGAGTGCTTCACCGACGGGCCGCATGCTACTTTGTAAATGCCCCATTCCCACGGGGAAAAGTTCACCAAGTGCGCGCGCGTTCCTCTCCGTCTGTTCCTCTGCAACCTGAACTTCTGTTCCGTTTCCGTTTTCCAAGTAACGACGGTCCATTCATAGCCCT